TGACAGATCTGGAATTAAGACGTCCATGCCATGGTGCTGTGGTCATGCTTTCTTTTTTCTTTTTTTTTTAAATAAAGATGGGGTTTCACCATGTTGGTCAGGCTGGTCTTCAACTCCTGACCTCAGGTGATTTGCCTGCCTTGGCCTCCAAAGTGCTTGGATTACAGGCATGAGCCATCATAACCGGCCTATTTTTTTTTTTTTTTTTTAGATGGAGTCTTGATCTGTCGCCAGGCACTAAGCTGGAGTGCAGTGGTGAGATCTCAGCTCACTGCAACCTCCACCTCCCCGGTACAAGCAATTCTCCTTCCTCAGCCTCCCGAGTAGCTGGGACTACAGGCGTGCACCACCATGCCCAGCTAATTTTTGTATTTTTAGTAGAGATGGGGTTTCACCTCATTGACCAGGATGGTCTCTATCTCTTGACCTCGTGATCCACCCGCCTCGGCCTCCCAAAGTGCTGGGATTATAGGCGTGAGCCACCGTGCCCAGCCAATTTTTGTACTCTTAGTAGAGACAGGCTTTCACCATGTTGGCCAGGCTGGTCTGGAACTCCTAACCTAAGGTGATCTGCCTGCCTTGGCCTCCGAAAATGCTGGTATTATAGGTGTGAGCCACCTCGTCTGGCCGACATTTATCTTTATTTGGTCTTCACTACATGCTTTATACACATTATTCATTATAATCCCCCTCCCCTTTTTTTTTTAAGATGGAGTCTTGCTCTGTCACCCAGGCTGGAGTGCAGTGGTGCACTCTCGGCTCACTGCAACCTCCTCTTCCTGGGTTCAAGGGATTCTCCTGCCTCAGCCTCCCAAATGGCTGGGACTACAGGTACACATAACCACACCTGGCTAATTTTCTTATTTTTAGTAGAGACATGTTGGCCAATAGACACCATGTTGGCCAGGCTGGTCTCAAATTCCTGACTCAAGCAAGCCTTTCACCTTGGCTTCCCAAAGTTCTGGAATTACAGTTGTGAGCCACCATGCCCCTATTTCATTATAATCCTTAAATCAAATTTTATGTTGATTCAGTTTCCTTATCCTTATCTTACAAATGAAGGAATTGACGCTGCTAGATTGCCCACGGTCACATAGCCAGAGAGTGGTCGGGCTGGGAACCTTGGTCCTCCTTATATCACCTCAATGACATAAACACTACACTGTCCAGCCTCCCTAAATCACCAGGCGCAGCCTCTCACTGCCTCTAGCTCATGATCTTGAGTCTATCCCAGGTTGATTTCCCATTGAACAGCAAAAATGTCTGATGGCCACTGAAGTCTGCTTTCAGATGTGGACAAAAGCCTCTACCTTCTTCATGCCAAAGGCTTTTTTTTCCCCCTCTTTTCTTTTTCTTTTTTTTTTTTTTTGAAGCCAGGTCTCACTCTGTTACCCAGTGGGAGTGTAGTGGCACAGTTACGGTTCACTGTAGCCTGAGTCTCCTGAGCTTGAGCAAACTTCCCACCTCAGCCTCCCAAGTAGCTGGGACCACACACGTGTGTCACCACACCTCACTAATTTTTTTTTTTTGAGATGGAATCTTGCTTTGTCACCCAGGCTGGAGTGCAGTGGCCCTATCTTGGCTCACTGCAACCTCCACCTCCCAGATTCAAGCCATTCTCCTGCCTCAGCCTCCCAAGTAGCTGGAACTACAAGCGTGCGCCACCACGCCCTCGTGATCTGCCTGCCTCGGATTCCCAAAGTGTTGGGATTATAAGCATGAGCCACCACGCCGTGCTGGCTCACACCTCACTAATTTTTTTATTTTTTGTAGAGATAGGATCTCACAGGCTGGGCAAGGTGGCTCATGCCTGTAATCCTAGCACTTTAGGAGGCTAAGGTGGGCGGATAACTTGAGGCAGGGAGTTTGAGACCAGCCTGATTGACATTGCAAAACCCAGACTCCATTTTTAAAAATACAAAAAAATTAGCTTGGCAGGGTGGCACATTCCTGCAATTCCAGCTATTCAGGAGGCTGAGGCATGAGAATCACTTGACCTGGGAGGCAGAGGTTGCAGTGACCCAGGATTGCGCCACTGCACTCCAGCCTGGTGACAGAGCGAGACCTGGTTTCAAAAAAAAGAAAAAAAAAAGAGGCCAGGTGTGGTGGCTCACGCATGTAATCCCAGCACTTTGGAGGCCAAGGTGGGCAGATCATGAGGTCAGGAGTTTGAGACCAGCCTGGCCAACATCGTGAAACCCCGTCTCTACTACAAATACAAAAATTAACCAGTCATGGTGGTGGGCACCTGTAATCCCAGCTACTCAGGAGGTTGAGGCAGGAGAACTACTTGAACCTGGGAGGCAGAGGTTTCAGTGAGCCAAGACTGTGCCATTGCATTCAAGATTGGGCAGCAGAGAGACTCCATCTCAAAAAAAAAAAAAAGAGAGAGATGGGATCTTACTGTGTTGCCAAGGCTGGTCTAGAACTCCTGAGCTCAGGAATCCTCACACCTCAGCCTCCTGAAGTGCTTCGATTATAGCTGTCAGATACCACACAGAGCTGAGGCTTTTTTTTTTGGGACAGAGTTTTGCTCTTGTTGCCCAGGCTGGAGTGCAATGGTGCAATCTCAGCTCATCGAAGCCTCCTTCTCTTGGGTTGAAGCCATTCTCCTGCCTCAGCATCCTGAGTAGCTGCGATTACAGGTGCATGCCACCATATCTGACTAATTTTGTGTGTGTTTGTGTTTTTTTTTTTTTTTTTTTTTTTTTAGCGCAGTTTTGCTGTTGTTACCCAGGCTGAGTGAAATGGCAGGATCTCGGCTCACCGCAACCTCCGCCTCCTGGGTTCAAGCAATTCTTCTGCCTCAGCCTCCCGAGTAGCTGGGACTACAGGCGTGCACCACCATGTCCAGCTAATTTTTGTATTTTTAGTAGAGACGGGGTTTCACCTTGTTGACCAGGATGGTCTCAATCTCTTGACCTCGTGATCCACCTGCCTCAGCCTCCCAAAGTGCTGGGATTATAGCTGTAAGCCACCGCGCCCGGCCTTAATTTTGTGTTTTTAGTAGTGACGGGATTTCTCCATGTTGGTCACGCTGGTCTTGAACTCCCAACCTCAGGTGATCTGCCTGTCTCAGCCTCCCAAAGTGCTGGGATTACAGGTGTGAGCCACCATGCCCGGCCGAGGATTTTTGTTTGTGGCTCTCAGAGTAGTGAGGAGGGAGAAGGCACCGAAAGAGGGAAGAGTCTGAGAGCTTCTGCAGGTGCAGGTGCATTTTGTTCCCCTCTAAAGTCTGCCTTAAAGCAGAGACAGAGGAAAGCATAGGAGGCCATGTAAACCACACAGCCTCTGGAGCCAGAAGTGCTACCTTGGGCAAGTCACTTCATTCTGAGCTTCAGTTTCTCATCTGAAAATGGGCACGATGAAACCAATCTTCCAATATTACTGTGAGAATTAAATAAACACAGATTGTGTGCAGCGGCTCACACCTATAATCCCAGCACTTTAGGAGGCCGAGGCAGGAGGATCACTTGAGTCCAGGAGTTCGAGACCAGCCTGGACAACATGGTGAAACTCTGTCTCTACTAAAAAAAAAAAATACAAAAATTAGTTAGGCATGGTGGCGTGCACCTGTAGTCCCAGCTACTTGGGAGGCTAAGGTAGGAGAATTGCTTGAACCTGGGAGGTGGAGGTTGCAGTGAGCTGAGATCGCACCACTGCACTCCAGCCTGGTGCCTGGCAACAGAGCCAGACTGTCTCAAAAAAAAATAAATAAATAAATAAATAATATATATATATATATATATATAAATATATATATACACACACACACACACACACAAATGTGTGTGTATGTGCATGTGTGTAAAATGAAGAGGATCAAGAAGGAAATCAGAGAACTCTTGAGAGTCCTCCAGGAATCAGTGGGGCAGGTAGTGGTAAATGAACACTCTGGATCATGAGCTGTGGATTCAAATGTAGCCTCTTCAGTACTGAGGCAGTGTCATGAAAATGTATAGCTGGTCTGTCTGGTTAATCTCCTCTTCCCTAGTAGGTCTTCTAAGCAGCCTCAAATCCTTTCTAGAAAGATCCCTGGCAAAAATTCTCTCCTTGACTAACCTCTATTTAGGCTCCCCTGAACTTTTCAACTAGGTCTTGACTTTTTGACTTCTGTGTTAATCTTTACATTATCCAGTTTTGTTTTGATTTTAGGGATAGGGCCTTCCTCTGTAACCCAGGCTGGAGTGCAGATAGCAAGATCATAGCTCACTGCAGCCTCAAACTCCTGGCCTCAAGTGATCCTGCCTCAGCCTCCAGAGTAGCTGTGACTACAAGAGCATGCCACCACACCAGCGAAGTCTTTAATTTTTTTGTAGAGAAGGGGTCTCACTATGTTGCCCAAGCTGGTCTTGAACTCCTGACCTCAGGTGATCCACCCGCCTCGGCCTCCCGAAGTGCTGAGATGACAGGCGTGAACCATTGCACCCAGCCCTGATTGTCAATATCTAATCGGGTTCCTCATTCTCCACCATTCCCAGGTGATGTCTGATCACCTTGGTCTGCCTTCACAAGATTCTTGTTAGGTGTGTTTAAGCCCGAATCCTCTCTTATCTCTGATGTAATTTCCTATCCACTTACCCTCAATCAGTGGATCCTTGCTCCTTTTCTATAAATTACCAATTGCCCATGCTGAATTCTGAATTGAGCCCAAATATTCTCCCGCCCTGCCAAACCCACTGCAGTGGTCCCTACACCCACCATGATGCTCCTCCCCCCAATAAAGTGGCCTTATAGTCTTTAACAAATGTCATTTAATATATATGTTTTTAACATCCTATGCATAAAACTCCAGCCAAGTGAGATCCTGATTCCTCTGTGTCTCCGGTTCCCATCAGTGACGAGAGCACAACGCAACCAGGGTTTTGGGGAGCCTTCCATGAAAGCACCTGGAAGCCTGGGGGCTTTTGACACAGATGGGGAAGGGCGGAGGCAGTGGGTCTGAGCAGCATCAGCCTAGAAATGCAGAACTGCCAAAAGAACCCCCCCGCCGCTAAAAGTCAGGACACTTAAAAATAAAATAAAGGTGAATTCCAGGCATGAGCTTTCCACAGGGAAGTGGGGCTTCCCCAACTAGCCCACCTCCCCTTCTCCCCAGGTGCGCAGCCCGCGCCGCCCATCCCGGGCGCGCCGATGCGACCGGAGCCGCGCTCTCTAGGACCCGAGGAGGAAGCGCTGCAGGGAGACGGTGCCTCCAGCGGGTGCTGCCGCGAGCGGCCGGCCGAGGGGCTGGAAATGAAAGTAAAGCGCTCCGGAGCCACATGGACGGAGCTGCCGGGGCGGCGGCGCCGGGAGCAGGATGCGGCCGCCCGTAATTAAATAGCATTTACTCTTATTATTACTAATAATAATAATAACGTAATCATACCTCTAGTCATAGCATACCATTTATCGGGCTCGGCGCAGACCCGCGGGAAGCGCAGCCCGGCGGAGGTGAGTGCTTGGCGCGGCCCGAGCCCGCGGGGCAGAGGCCGGGGCCACCGCGTCCGGGGCCGCCCGCGCGCGACGGTTCGGGGACGCCCGGGCCGGGCTGAGCCGGGCCGGACCGGGGAGGAGGCGCCCAGAGCCCTGTCCAGGCCGGGGCTGCGCGCCGGGCCACCTGGAAAGTGGGATTTTGCAAAAAATAAATTGTCTCTAAACCCCCATTTCCTTCTTTTTTGGGGATCCCGGTCCCCGTGCCCTGCCCCAAAGTTTCTAAGTTACCGTGTGGCCGGGGGCACCTGCCCTGGGGAGACTTGGCCGCCCCTGCAGCCCCCCAGGAGCTGTGTTGGAATTTTCTTGGGGCCTTTCCGGCATGCGGAGCTTCTGGGGTCCCCGGATGCTCTGCCGACTCCCGCCCAGGGGGTCTCGGAGACTGGCAGGGGAGTCGCTGGCAGGCCCCCCCTTTTGTGTTCGCCTTGGTTCCGCAGCACCCGGAGTTGGAGGGGCCCCGGCGAGGGCCGGGGAGCGCGGCCGCCAGACGGGCCACCCCGGTCGGATGCGGCGGCCACGCGAGCCCGGGGATCCGGGGCCTGCAGCCGGGCCCGCGGGAAGGGGGCGGCAGAAAAGGGGGGCGCGGTCTGGGCCTGCTGGGCAGGGGGGCGTTTCCGGTCGCAGGATCAGTTTCTGGGCTCCGAGGCCTGTGGGAGGTCCGTGGCGGTCCAGGGAGTGAGTGCTAGGGGGCTTCGGATGTCGGCTCTGGCGCCTGAGGCGGGGGGTGCCTGATGGGGCTGGGGGCCTGGGAGCCGCGGACCCGGGCCTCATATCCCCATCCTGCCCGCAGCGAGCCTGGGGGCCTCACTCCAGGCTTACTCCCTCCCCCTTTCCTCTCCTTTCTCCTTAAAACTGTGTCTGATTTGGGGGTTTATAAGGCGCCTGGTTGGGGGGGGTCTTTCACAGACAAAGCCGTTTTCCCAGGAAAAGAAATGATCATGTAAAAACAGCTCCCTCTGATAGAACCTGATGTCTGTGTTGCCAACAGTGCATCGATGGGGAAGACTAGGGGGCTAGGGCCCTGCGTGGGGGGTCTGGGGGCTCAAAAAAGGGGGCTGGGCCTGAGTGAGGAGGGAGCTGGTGATCAGCGGTTTTGTTTCTCGAGTTGCTAGCTTTGGCGTCAGACTCTGAACCCCAAATTCTTGCCATATTCCTCAGCATCTGCAGTTCAGCCTGATGAAAATAGCAGAATGCAGATCCTTGAATTGTCACACAAATGAGATAATTATAGTACATGTAGCAACCGCGTTGGACACAAAATGCTGGCGGAATCTTTAGTTCTACTACCAATACTCCCCCCTACACACACATACACCCATCCCCCTCCGTGGGGGTCTCCTTTCCCCACGTTCAACTCCCATAGAAGTTGGACTGCCACGACACCTGGTCGACACTCGGATGGAGCACATTTGAGAAGTGGAGAGTCTTAAGGTGGGAAGAAGAAACGTGTGTCCAGGAGGGATAAGATCTGAGGATGGGAGAGACTTTGTTGTCCCTGAGCTGGGATAAAGTTTCTGTTCTGTGGATGCTGGGAGTTCTTAGCTGCTGGCTTTTGTATAGGTTACACAGGAATGTGGATTTTGGTAGATTATTGTGAGGCTAAGAATAGTGGGATTCTTGGTGGGATGTGCTGATCTCTCGAGTCTTAGGTGTAGGAAAACTGAGATGTCAGTTGAGACATGGGTGGAGAATCTGAAAATGATAACCCCTCAATCTGAAAATCATAATCTTTAAATATCACTTTTTAGTTTACAACAAAAGGGCGGCCCGGCGTGGTGACTCATGCCTGGAATCCCAGCACTTTGGGAGGCCGCCGTGGGCGGATCACCTAAGGTCAGGAGTTTGAGACTAGCCTGGCCAATACCGTGAAACCCCGTCTCTACTAAAAATCCAAAAATTAGCTGGATGTGGTGGGGAGTGCCTATAATCCCAGCTACTTGGGAGGCTGAGGCAAGAGAATCGCTTGAACCTGTGACATGGAAGTTACAGTGAGCCAAGATGGTACCATTGCACTCCAGCCTGGCAGACAAGTGCAAGACTGAGTCTTAAAAAAAAAAAATAAAAAAAAAACAAAAAGGCTTTCACATGTGTTGGCTCATCTGTCCTCCATAGTAATTGTGTCAGGTAGACATTTTCCAGATGAGAAACCTTAGGCTGAATTGTGAGTCTTGCTGGAAAGTCAGATGGCAGAGGCAGGATTCCCACACAGTTTTCTGGCTCTAAATCGTCACCCTTTCCCAGGGTCCTGGGCTACCTTAGCAAGTGACTTTTCTTTTTCATTTTGAGACAAGGTCTCACTCTGTCACCCAGGCTAGAGTACCTTAGTACAATCGTAGTTCAATCTACCGGGCCCAAGCAGTCTTCCTGCCCTGGCCTCCCAAAGGGACTGGGTTACAGGCATGAGCCACCAAGCCTGGCTCAAGTTTCTTTTCTTTCTTCTCTTTCTTCTGCTTCCCACTTTCTCTCTTTTATTCGAGGGAGTCTCACTGGAGTGCAGTGGCTGGAGTGCAGTGGCTCCATCTCGGCTCACCGCAACCTCCCCCTCCTGGCTTCAAGCGATTCTCCTGCCTCAGCCTCCTGAGTAGCTGGATTACAGGCATGTTCACCACACCTGGTTAATTCTTGTATTTTTAATGGAGACAGGGTTTCACCATGTTGGTCAGGCTAGTCTCGAACTGCATCCTCATGATCCGCCTACCTTGGCCTCCCAAAGTGCTGGGATTAGAGGCGTGAGCCACCGCACTCAGCTCTTTCTTTCTTTGAGAGTTTCTCTCTCTGTCACCCAGGCTGGAGTGCAGTGGCATGATCTTGGCTCACTGCAACCTCCCAGGTTCAAGCAATTCTCATGTCTCAGCCTCCTGAATAGCTGGGTCCACAAGCACCCACCACCACACCCGGCTAATTTTTGTATTTTTAGTAGAGACAGGGTCTCGCCATGTTGCTCAAGCTGGTCTTGAACTCCTGGTCTCAACATATCTGCGCATCTTGGTCTCTCAAAGTGCTGGGGTTACAGGCTTGAGCCACCTCATGCCTGTCTGCAAGTTACTTTTCAAGTGCCTCTTGTGTGATGCTGTGGGGAAGGTTTGCGATTGAGTTTGTCATTTATTATCTGGCTGGAAAGAGAAAGTTCACTCTAGTGAACCAGTGAGAACACAAGAATTCTGGGGTCAATGCAGTGGGAGTGGAGAGAAGAGAGCTCAAAGTTATCCGGAAAAGTTAGAGAAGGCTTCTTCCAGGAAGTAGAATTTGAACTTGAAAAAATGGGGAGGCTTGCTAGAGTGGAGAAGAAGGGAATTTCTGGGTTAGCCACAAGTGCTTCTGTGCTGGGAGGTTGACTTATGTTATCTCTAATTGTCACAGTAGCTCCATGAGGGGTGGGCATTGTAATCTCCATTTTGCAGATGAAGAAACTGAGGGCCAGGCGCCGTGGCTCATGCCTGTAATCCTAGCACTTTGGGTGGCCAAGGTGGGTGGATCACTTGAGGTCAGGAGTTCGAGACCAGCCTGGCCAACATGGCAAAACCCTGTCTCTACTAACAATATAAAAATTAGCTGGGCGTAGTGGCACATGCCTGTAATCTCAGATACAGGGATTTGGGAGGCTGAGGCAGGAGAATTGCTTGAATCCAGGAGGCGAAGGTTGGAGTGAGCCAAGTTTGTGCCATTGTTCTCCCGCCTGGGCAACAGAGAGAGACTCTGGCTCAAAAAACAAAAAAGAAAGAAAGAAAGAAAAAAAAAAGAAAGTGAGGAACACAGGATTTGTGTGCCCAGCCCAAGGTCAACCTGAAGGATTTGAATCCAGGCCTCTTGACTCTTAAGTGTGCTCTGCCCTCTGCAGCCACCTTCCTCTCAGATACATAAGCAAGAACAGGGACCAGTTTGTAATGCCAGCACTTTGGGAGGCCAAGGTGAGCTGATCACTTGAGGTCAGGAGTTTGAGACCAGCCTGGCCAACGTGTTGAAACCCCATCTCCACGAAATACACAAAAATTAGCCCGGCCTGGTGGCGTGTGCCTGTGATCCCAGCTACTAGGGAGGCTGAGGCAGGAGAATCATTTGAGCCTGCAGGGTGGAGGTTGCAGTGAGCCAAGATTGTGCCACTGCACTTTAGCCTGGACGACAGAGTGAAACTCCATCTCAAAAAAAAAAAAAAAAGAAAAAAAACCCCAGAGATCAGATGGTCTGAATTAGCAACTGCAACCAGGGTAGGGGCTCAGGCTGAATGATCAGCAAGCTCCCCAAGCCCAAGGAGTTCTCCTGAACTGGCTACATCCCAGGGCCCTGCAGGACTGGCCCAGTGAAAGCACTGTCAGTAGGTCTCTAACTGGAGAAGGCAGGATGGCAGTAGGAGGAGGACTGGTCCCTGAGTGTGTTCAGACTGGATCTGAGCAGGTTCGGTTCCTCAGTGCCTGCTGAGTGCAAACTCAGCACCCTGGAGGAGCTTGGAGCTTGGGATGAGATAGATATGGACCATTAATCTGAGCTTCCCAAGGACAGGAACTGGGTCTGATTCCCCCTCTGTGCCTCCAGCCCCAGAGGTGGTGCCAGGATGACACACTCAGCCATTGTGTTGTCAAATTGAATTATGCCCTAGTGTAGAGGAGAAAGGTTTATTTTGCCCAAGAGTGGAAGGTCTTCCTAGAAGTGCCATTTGAACATCTGACGGATAGGTTGAAAAGCCAGAGAAAAGGTGTTCTAAGCAGAGGCATTGACATGTACAAAGCCGGGGACAGTGCAGCCACAGTCTAGTGGGCAGAGATGACTTTGGGTTCAAGTCAGGCTCTGCCATCGTGATCCCTTCAATTCTCTGGGCCTCAGTTTCCCCTTCGGAAAAGGAGCCCTAAGAGATTTGATGATATTTAGTGATAACCTATGTCTGGGGGTCAGGATAAGAAACTCAGATAAAAGGAGCTAGAGGTATTTTAAAATTTTTATTAATTTAGCAGTCACCAGTCCAGCAA